ATCAAATAATAATTTTGTTACGTCGAAGTAAGAATTTTATATTGTATTTTTAAGTTGCCATTCCCAATCTAGTTCTACAATCAATCTTCTATAATATTTAAAATTGAATGATTGAGGAGAAACTTTTGAAAGACGATATTTCCCTCTTTGATTTTGTGTAATTCCTAATTCATCTTTCAATTATTATTAGAATTTAAATTAATTTATAACATACTATTCAATAATATTAAATATTACAAGTTTTCATTCTGCGTATCCCTCATTTAATTTGTATAATTCCCAATTCACCATTCAATTATAATTAGAATTTAAATTATTTTATGACGTACTATTCAATATTATTAAATTTTATAAGTTTTCATTCTGCACACATTATTAATTCCATCAAATGATGAAGGATATCTATTCAAATTCTAAAGGAAACATGTTATTTTCAATACTTCTACGCTTTGCAATGAACATTAACGGTCTAAGGACATTATAATAACTACTGTTGTCATACTTTCTCACGGAGTTTCAATGCAAACAATAAAAGCCTTAGTAAAAGCAGAAAAATAAAAAGAAGAAAAGTTTGGGACGTTAACAGAAACTATTGTGTACAAATGGGTGTTATTATAATAAAAACATTACATTTCATTTCATTTTATTCAACCTTTTCACATTATATGCATAATTTTATAAAAAGTTTTATTTATACATATTCTTCTTAACAATTGTAATTTTCCTTTAACAATATCAATTACATCAACTACTTTCAAATAATAGTATTTATACTTCAAAAACATTATGCATATCATTCATTCGATAAATAAGACGTGCAATGCACATGTTTACTACTAGCAATGCATAAATGTCACATGGGTTGAAATATTTTTTTGGATAATTTTGTCAAATGTCCCTTAATGATGCCATGTATGCTTTAATGTTATTTTTACAAGGTAACTAATGTCCTAACATTTACAAACTTGATTTGACTATACCGTAAAATAATAATTTCAGTGACTATTGACGTAATTAATCCCTTTTGATAAAGTTCAATTAAATATTTGAATGTGGCTAGGGCGTTATTTAGAAAATTGAAAAAAAGGATCTCCTACGTACATAAAAATGGGAAATGGACTAATCGCGCGAACTACTCAATGATAGCTTCAGAGTTTTCTTCTCTATGAAAGCTCAAAGAACCAAAACTCATATTTCAAAAACCAAATATATTCTTACAAGTAAAAACCAAAATAAATTCTTACAAGTAATTTAATTAACTCATTTTCTTCGAACTCATTTTCAATAATACATTTAATGGGATTCATGACTTTATCAACTTTTAAACTGCACATTTTATCGCATTAAAATTTGATTTTTAATCAAACCAAACATGGACTTATTTGATATTGGCTACTCAAGATTCAAGATATATTTGTCGTGAAAACAAGATTTTTTCCCTAGAATTTTATGTAACATTTAGAACGTCCAATTACGGAACTAAAGTTAGATTTCAACGAGCATTTGATCCGTCAAGTTAAAATCATATTTGGGCTCAGAGAAGAAGGGAGAGATAAGCGAAGGAAAGAATGCCAAAACATAAAAATAAAAAGTATAAATGGTGATCGAGAAGGGGCTCAATGAAATAAATATAGATATTTATCTATATCTATCTATAATGCATAAATGTCACATGAGTCGAAATCATTTTCTGGACAATTTTGTCAAATGTATATTTTCATTGTTTCAGTAATACCCATGTGCCTATTAATTGCCATTATTAATTTCTTCTCAGTTTTGATTTTAAAAAAAATAAAAAATGACAACCACAATTCATGTATATAATAGTTTCAGAATTTTGATTTGGATGATAATAAAAGTGTCTTGTTCGTAACACACAAATAATTATTACTACAATTTTGATGGAACAGACGTAAGAATTATTGGAATTCACCAAAT